CTAGTCTGGTTTACAGTCAGGGGCATGCTTGGTTCTTCTACCTGTTGGCTTGGGACCAGGAAGGAACTTGATGGATACTGGCCCAATGAAGGGATCACTGCGGGAAAGGGAAATGGGTCCCAACTTGGGAACCCCATGACCACTCAGGCCTGGCTAACATGACAAGGTTCAGCCAGCTGCAGAATCATCCCTGTGCTTCAGGGGACTGGATGTCGTCATGATCTTTTCAGGGACCTGATAGAGGCTTAGAAATTCTTTGTCCTCAGCGCAGCTGCAGATTGTTATCCCTTGAGGAGGGCATATTGAGACTGCTGCAGTCCCCAGAGGCAAAAACATTGCCGCGCATGATTTATTTTCCAGCCTCCAACATATTTTTCCTTTCCTTCTTGGAGGAATTTCCAGTAAGCTCTCCTCCAGTAATCCATGTGGGCTGCGTCCTGACTGAACAGACGTGAGCTCCCCTGCTTAAGAATCCAGCAGCAAAGCCCTTACTCACCACAGAGGCATGTGCTGTTAACATGTACACCAGTGCTAACAAGCAGAATATTTTCCACTCTTTTTTTAAAAAAATACAACTACATTGTATTCATTTTAAGGGACAAGCAAAATAGTTCAAGAGGTTCTTAACTGATACTTGCATGAGTACAATGACTAGTTTAACATTAAACTCTTATCCCCCCAATCACAACATCTGTCAATTAGTTTCTGTTTGCTTAGTAGTTCTTTGTCACGTAGATACTCAGCTCACACATTCATGGACTAAAAGAAAATGGAGCATGACTAGTTTTGTTTTTCATTTTAAAATACATCTGCGGCCGGGTGTGGTGGCGCACGCCTGTAATCCCAACACTGGGAGGCTGAAACAGGAGGATCGTTGTGAGTTTGGGGCCAGCCTGGGCTACAAAGTGAGTTCAAGGCCAGCCTGAACTGCATAGCAAGACTCTGTCTCAAAAAGACAAAAAAAAACCAAAACAAAACATCTGCAGCTTATTAATTTCACAACTAGGGCAGGAAAGCCAAAGGCTCTTGCAATGCTTTCAGTATAGTTTTCTTCTGAGACTGTGGTTTATCTTGTTTTAGTATTGGGTCAATTCCAAGAGACTTATTTTTCCATGAAATACAGGGCAGAATTTCCCTGTTACTGTGACACTGTCATTTTGGCATATTTGTAGCATTAGTGATATGAAAGAAAAAAGGTTCTTGGCTCAGCATCACCCCCCTTTAAAGGAAATTGTCTTGCGGTCACACTGAGCTGTTCTGATGTCCTGGATAGAAGGCGAAGTCATCATCCCCATTTTTTCTCTGTGTTCTGTATCCAGGCAACATCACAGCAAACAGGCCAGGCCAGGCAGGCCTGGGAGTCACTGCGGAGTTCAGACTTAGCCACAGGGCAAGCTTCCTTCCACTCAGCGCTTAGAAACTCTTAGAAGTTGTTAACTGTTTTCATTTTTCCTCAATTCAATCTAGCTGTAAAAATAACTTTGGGGGGCCTGGGGGTTTAGCTCAGCGGCAAAGCGCCTGCCTGGCAAGCGCAAGGTCGTGAGTTCGGTTCCCGGTACCGGAAAAAAACCAAAAAATAAATAAAAAATAAAAATAAAAATAACTTTGGGATTATAATAATCTAAACACTAGTTTTACTTCACTAGAAAAAAATCAAGACTTCTTCTATATGTTCCCTACCAGCAAAAACATCAGAATTTTGTGGTGGGAAGGTAAATCTTAGAAATAGGACTAAAGGTTTATAAAAGAGGAATTGAGGTTAGACTTCACAATTAACTTCTTTTATTTTGCTCTACTTCTTGTCAGTGAACTATTACTACCCTCTCCTAGCTAAGTGAAATTAGCAAATAATGGTTGAGTCAGAAGGGAGGTTGTGAAATCATTCAAGACCATAAAAGGTGAGCAGATGGGCTTTGTGTTTGAGGCAGCTGGTCTCAAGCCCCACCATTCCCTGTTACATGACATAACACTCACTGTATTTCTTCTTGGCCCAATCTTTCCCCAGATACATTGGGTGAGTTAATTCTGACCCTTACCTGATAAGCCAGTACCCTTGAAGGTAAAACTCCTGCTTATCATTTGGGATTTTCCAGTACAATCATGTTCTAGATTTTCCCATTAAGTTAGAGAGCAATAATTTAAGAAAAAAGAAATATTTAACATAAGACAGCCTTATACAATAGACATATATAGAAAACATCATATGTACAACCCTGGTAGCAGACCTTTAGAACTGAAGAGTCAGTGGAATTATTTAATCCCATCTATTTGTTTGCTAATAATGAAGTAGTCTCAGAGAGTTGGGTGACATAGACAAGGCCTCAAAGAAAGTTAGGACATAGGGTTAGGGCTAGAGTAGGGATTGGCCTCCACCGGGGTAGTTTTGCCCTCCAGGGGATAACTGTGAGTGTGTGAAGATGTATCTGGTGATCACAGCTGGGTGGACTGCAATAGGTATCCAGTGGGTAGAGACCAAGATGCTGCTGAGCCTCTGACTAAGCAGAGGGCAGCCCCTCACAACAGAAAATTTAACTGGATCAAAATGTTCAGTAGCCGGGCGTAGTGGCACACACCTATAATCCCAGCACTTGGGAGGCTAAGGCAGGAGAATCGCTGTGAGTTCAAGGCCAGCCTGGCCTACAAAGTGAGTTCAAGGCCAGCCTGACCTGCATAGTGAGACCCTGTCTCAAAAAAAAAAAAAAAAGACAAAAAACAAAACAAAATATTCAGTAGTGAAGAGGTTGAGAAATACGGGCCAGGCCTCTTCACACTTCCACAGTGTCTCAGCATGGTACACCAGTTATTCTAAGATTTACTTACTGCAGATAGAGGCTGAGGTCATGCTGATTTTAGCAGGAACAAGTCAGTGCATGTTTAAGTGCACAATGTTATTATCTTAATCAGATCTAGGCTATGAAGCATTGAACTATGAGGAATAAAGTCTTGTTTGTTTCCAGGTCTTTCAAAGTAGGGATCTCATTTTGAAATTTAACACCAGTCAGATGACTTTAAAAACATACTTTTCTCATTTTGTTCTTCTTTAAAATGCAATTAGTCAACCCCATAGTTAACCACTCTACTTTTAAAATATGGTAAGAAATTTTGCTCAGGCGTTCTATGGGCTAAGGGAAATGTGGGGAAGTATAGGGCTCTCACCTGATGTTAAAGAGTCACTATTTTGTCTGGTAGAGATGGAATGAAGCACAGACCCCTGTCTTCAGCATGTTAGAGGAATAAAAATCCAACAGAATAGAAAAGTACTTTAATAAGTATATTGTATGAACATACTCATCTAAACAATAGTCTATAAAATTTCCATCAATTTTCAGCATTGACTGGTAGATCTAATTTTTGTATTGGCCTGAAATGGATGAAGAGTTCAGTCATCTCTTGGAGGCAAACTTTTATTTTCTATTGCCAACTATAGACTGTTCATGTTATTAGGAAAAAATGAGAATCTGTCATGATTTGGGGGCATTGTGTGTAGTGCTCTGTATAAGAATTGCACTCTTCCAAGGAATCATACACACACCATCCATACAATTGAGTAAACCGGCAACACGGTACTCCCAGTTTCCTGGGAGTGCAATCTGTCTGTTCACAGAGGACTCATTGATGTGTGTGCTGGGATTATAGACTCCAATTCGGTAATCTCATCCTGTTTCTGAGGTTTGAGTGGGAGAGAAGACTATGGATATAATCACTTAAAAAATGATAGGCCCACGTTGACACCCACTTTTCCTGATTTGTAAGGATACTGTACTAAATTTTTAGATAAAATAATTTTGCCACAAAATGAAACATCCTGGTTATTATTTTTGCCCCAAAGCTCAGAGTTGCATAAAAATACTCAACTATCATTTCTTCACTGTATTTTGAAATACTGTAAATAATCTCTTCTAACTTTAAGGGCTTCATGCTGAGTTTTATATTTTAATGCTAATAATTTTCTGTTCTATCACATCTGCTCCATGTTAGTCGAAGTGGCTGCAATTGCAGGCAGGATACAAGTAATACCAAAACATACTTACTACTCTTTTCCTTTCTCACTGGGCTTCCCTCACTGGTCTTTCTGAATGCACTTCACAGTGAGAATCTCTTCCATTCCTCTGCCTTATTCATGTTTCATGTTCTATTCCCCAAGTTAAACTCTTTTCCCATGGATTACATTTTTATGTTTACTAACTTCCTGCAGATGTGTATTTTATAAGTACTTTTTTCTGTAAGTATTTTTGATCACTTCCCTTAGCTATAACAGTATTTTAGATATTCATTCTCAATATACATAGGCTTATTTATTCTTTCCGTCATCCAGTAAATATCTTTTAAGTCCCTGTAGTGCATCAGGCTTGTAGAACATAGGAACGGACACAACAGGAACATACTATGCCTCTAGAGATCATTATGCTGTGAGAGGGACAGAGTGTGCTTCTGTACATTGTGCTTCTGTCATGTGCAACAGGAGACAGATGAGTAAGAGGCAGAGACGTGATATAACCCCAGGGCCTAGGAGGAAGTAATGGTACACACATCTTAATTTGAATCAGAATATATGGGGGAGAAAGTTAGCCTCATCAAAAGTCTAATAATTTATTCTCAGAGTAGACACTTTGAGAATGTCTACTTAGGAGGATGTTTTTATAGGGCACAATTTTATGGGTCCTTCAAAAATGTCTATTATGGAAAATGCCTTTCTTTCTGAGTTTTGTCCTACATTTCTCTCTGTTTCAATTTTGAGGAGTAGGGGGCTACCTTCAGTCTTTCCTTCTGGCATTAATGATTATTGGAATCCATAGGCATTATAGTTCAACTCTTGAAATGCCTACCTATCATGGAGAAGTAGTGGCAGGTATGTCATATTTACTGCCAGAATACTCCATCCCACAACTTGTTACTAGTGACTTCAGTGAAACCAGATGAATACCAAGGTACTGGGAGGGCCTGTGAGACGATGGACCAGGTTCCCCGCTAGGCTGCTGTCTTTTCTATTTCCCCTGCAGATTAATTGGCACTGCGACTATCGCCCTGAAGGACCTCACTGGTGACCAGAGTAGATCACTGCCCTACAAACTCATCTCCCTGCTAAACGAGAGAGGACAAGACACTGGGGTAAGGATTTTCCCTCTCGTTGAAATCATGTTGAAGTGAGGTGGAGAGGCAAAAGTTCATTTAGAAAAGAGTTTGGGCTGATAATTAGCTCACTGCATAAAAAGCAGAAATCTGGCTTTGAGATAAATGGGTCTGTGTGCACATGATACAGACCTGATTCCATACTTTTAGTCACAGACCTAGCAAACTTGAGATTTGATTTTTCCACTACAGAAAGCTATAGAGTGAGCAGAACCCATCAATGTAGCTCTGTGCTAAGCTATGTGGGAATTCATATTTGTGTGATTGTGTAGAGCTCCTTCATGAGAATATCTTGAATATCAAGATGTTAATATCATATCCTTATCCTTGAACTGGCAGGATAAGGTTTTCTGATCACAGTATCTATAAGCAAACACATATTGTGTGACATAAGATCAGAATTCAAATGTGCTTTTTAAAAAGTCAACTTGAGATTCTTTTTTTAAAAATTTCCATAAATCATTTTTATAATTAGTATTTTAAACATAATAACATTCATATGCAGCCCAAAGGCCAACTGCCATGCTAATGGAAGAAAAGGAGCAAAAGGAAAGCTATTTTGCACATTTAGGTGCTTTATCTTGACTCCATTCCTGAATCAGAAATTCAATTGTAGACTGCTGATCCACAGAATTTGTGGATCAGATATTTCAAAAGAGTTCTTCTTCTTCATGCACTGCATAATCTTTCATGCCTGTCCAGAATCTTCTGAAGAAGAGCTTCTCCTTTTTTCAGTGTGAGGTAAATGGCACCTAGCAAGGTTTCTTGTTTTTCGTCTTTTGACTCCACCTAAAGATTTCAGTGGAAAACCTCCAAATGATGTGAAGGGATGAAACTCAACCTGCTAGACATCCAGTATGAGTTCATGTTCTCCAAAATCAAAGAATGAATTTTAGGAACAGCAGAGATTATGAGCAGAACGTAGTTATTAAAGGAAAGAAAGCTTCTGTCTGAGAGAGACAGAAGTGGTCCCAAGTGAGTTGCCCCAACTCAAGCTTCTGAGGTCTAGATTTTATGTGACTACCAACAAACCCTTAGGAAGTTACCATGATTGGCCCACACTGTTAGCTGCTTCAGAGCCTAGGGAAAAGGAGAAAAACTTACTTTAAGAGAGGACATCCCTGCAGGCAAAAATATGGGTGAGACTTCTCAATATCATGGAGGGAATGCCAATTTTGCAGATCAAGTCTCTACTATTACAGTTATAATTATCTTAGTTATTGTGGGCTGATCAGGCGCACAACCTCCCAAATGAGTGGATGGAAAAGGTTTAAATAAATGAGATAATTGAAATGATTTCAGGGCTCCAGGAGGGTCCAACTTTATTACTAAATTCAAGATTCTCTGAGTTAAGACTCTCTGAGTTATGACCTGGACTTCTCTGGGCTGCCCATATTAATAGGTTTTCAAACAAAGGAGGGGGATACTGAAGAAAATGCAAGAATCTGGGCAGGACTTGGGGAACTCTTTAGGAATTCTCCAGGTAATACATTATGTTAATTTAGGAGAACTATGTTATCTCCAGGAAGGCCTTCACTGCAGGAGTGAGATGCCTGCAGGTACAGCCTCCTTTTAGTTAATTGAGGTTGGAGACAAAAGTCCTCAGTTGTGGCCTTATCTTGCCTTTGAGGCCTCATGGCTTCACCCACTATTACAGGCCTCAGTAGGGACCAGTGACTCACAAGAAAGCCAATTGGGGGGCTGGGGATTAAGCTCAGCGGCAAAAGCGCCTGCCTGGCAAGCACAAGGTCATGAGTTCGATTCCTGGTACCGGAGAAAAACCAAAAAAAAAAAAAAAGAAAGTACATGGCTGGGCATGGTGGCACATGCCTGTAATCCCAGCACTCCGGAGGCTGAGGCAGGAGGATCCTTGTGAGTTCGAGACCAGCCTGGGCTACAAAGTGAGTTCAAGGCCAGCCTGAACTGCATAGATAACACCCCATGTGAAAACTTTATCTAAAATTTTATAAACAGGACTGTCTTTATTTCTTGTAAGGAAGTAGTATATTTCCTTCTTTCTGGTAACAATTTCTTAACATTTTCTATTTTCCTTTTGACTTTGGCTCCTTGGCATCTTGAGATCACAATTTATATAAGAGGAAGGGTGATTGTGTTAACTTTATGATTTATGTATTTGTTTCTTCTTTAATCAGTTTTACTTTCTCTTTTTAATTGTATTTTATGAATCCCATCACTATATACATTTTTGTTAAAACTAATTTTAGAGAAAAACATGAAAATAAATGTCAGCAATTATAATCAACTAAGTCAATGAGCAACAAATAAATCAGTCGTTTAAAATGAGCAATTGCAATCCTGTAAGAAGAGGCCTTAAGGGCAGAGGCTAATTACAAGTCACCAACTTGCTAGTTACAAGTGTGCTCCAGTCAACTGTCTCTTAGCAATGATTCAGTTTGCAGCTGGGAGCGAGTAACTCCTTCTGGCTCCACTTTGGCTCACTTGTGGGGAGACAGATGCCGTCTGATGCTTGTCTTCAGCCTCCACACTTCTAGTCTCACTTTCCTACTGCTTTGCTTATCCCTGCTAAGAATTTCATTCCTGCTGACATACTTGGCATTGAGTCTGCAATATTCCAGTGCCCACATTAATTCTTTCTATAATGAATTATTTCCACGCAGGCCACCATTGACTTGGTGATTGGCTATGATCCACCTTCAGCTCCACATCCAAATGACTCGAGTGGGACCAGTGTGCCAGGAATGGGAAGTAAGTTGATCCTTCTGAAGGCCCAGCTAACCTGAGGGGACTCTGCTAAGACACCCAAGTGAACTTCCCAGAGAGGTCCAGCCATGTTATCACACCATTTGCTGCTCTCTGCTCCAGACATGGGCTCTGTAAGGCGGGTAGAGCAGCATGAATTGGGACATGGCAGTTGCTTAGGAAATGTCCTTCCAAGTAGGGGAGGAAGTGAAGAGGCCCTTCCTAAACAACCTCACGGTGAACCCTTCAGCACTCAGAGGCCCCAAAAGAAGATCCCAAGCATGGCCCTGCTTTAGTCTTGTAGGTACTACCACATCCAATGTCCAAGGTTATGCGGGTCATGGAGTCGACCTTCTGCTTTCCTCCATGTGTTTTTTTACCTCTCAAATGTGTGACCACCAGGCTGTGCCCTCAGCTACCAGTCTTACAGTCAGTCCCCTTGGACTTGATCCTCTTTTCTCCTTTCTCCCTTGGTCCTGACTCTCTCCCTATCCCGAATATCCCCTCAGTCTTCTGTTACCCGAGGCTTGGCCTGTTCCCTGGGCATGGAGGGACCTATCATCCTGCCATGCTAACTTGCTGCCTTGAAATTCTGTCTATAGGAGGAACCCCTGGCACCTGTTTCTGCCAGGTTCAGCTCTTGAATCCTGATTTCTCCGTTTCTCTTACTTTTTTTTTTTGTTTGTTTGTTTTTTTGGTTTTTCTCCGGTACCGGGAACCGAACTCACGACCTTGCGCTTGCCAGGCAGGCGCTTTGCCGCTGAGCTAAATCCCCAGCCCCCGTTTCTCTTACTTTTGATCTAGGCTGTCTAGTCACCCATGTGGGCTCCTCAGCATGTGCCCCTCCTTCTTCTCCTAACAGACAGTATCTCTGCTGCCTTCCTACCTGAGTTCTTATCTTGCCTCAGCCTCATTCCAGCCACTGCCCCAGCTTGTCCACCACTGTTATTGTTTTGGCCCCTCTCTTGTCCAAATAGTTGTGAGTTTCCAGTGTAGGTTAGGTGGCTTCCTCTTACATGGTGACAGTTGGGGCTGAGTTAGTCCCAGCATATCACTGATGTGCTCTACATGTTGCTCTCTGCCTCGTGGCACCAAAAACACGGTACTGGGTGCTTGGACACGTGACCCTACATGATCTCTGTGGTGGCCCAAGAAAGTGGCTCACTTGGCAGCCACAACAGGAATAACAAGTAAAACGCAGAGGCCCAACCCAGTACTGCACAGGACACTAGCAGGTGTGGAACTGAGCCTCCTACCCATTTCCTTTGTGCCTTCTCTGCTGACAACTGTTGTCTCCATGAAGCGCAGGGGGCACCTCTGGGCCCTGTTGAGGCAGCCCCACCTCGTGGGTTCTCTGAAGTAGCCCCTCATTGGGAAGATCAGGAGATGCTCCAGCACTCTGGTGATTTCCCTAAGCTAAACCCAGTGTGTGAGGTTGCTCCGGCTGCTGTACCACAAAATGGATAGTTTAAACCACAGAAATGTATTATCTCACAGTTCTGGGATGTGGAAGTCTGAAATAGAGGTGTCAGCAGGACTGGTTCATGCTGGAGACTCTGAGGGAAACTCTTCCCAATCTTGTCTCCTACCTTCCGGTGCTGCCAGCTCCCATGGCATCCCTTGGCTTGAGGATGCATTGCCCCAATCTCTGTCATTGTTGTTATATGATATTCCTTCTGCATGTGTCTGTGTCCAAATTTCCCACTTTTTGTAAGGATAATAGTCCCTAGGTTAGGGTCCACCCCAATCTAGTGTGACCTCACCTCACTTGACTACAAAGACCTGGTTTGGAATATTTTCTCATGCTCTGAGATTCTTCATGGCATGAATTTTGGAGGGACAGTATTCAACTAAGTGCACTGACAGATAAAAGATTAGTTGCATTAAGTTTATTCTATTGCAGAAGCCAAAATAAGTGAGTCCCTTTATATTATGCCTTCAGCCAAGCCTTTAGGGAACAAAAACATTGTGGTGCAGTAAAGTAAAAGGAGTAAATTTGTAGAAGTGGGTGCCACTCCATATTAGTGTATATGAGTAAAAAAATGGGTTTCCTGGGTGTCATGGCTAGCTGCTGTAGTACTGGGGGTGACAAGTGCTTTAGGACACAGCTCTTGCCCCAAAGGAACTTTCTGACTAGGTTTCATGACAAGACTCTTCTATCCTGGGGGTATAACATTATGGATTAAAAAAAAAAGCATTGTGGGTAAGAAGAAGGGCTTCCGAGTCAGTCCGGCCCTGGCTGGATTCTGAATCTATTACTAGTTAGCTCTGTAACCTTAAGTAAGTAATTTAACCACTTTGAATCTCAGCTTTCCTTAATGGAAAGCAGAGTGATAGCAGCACTTATACCTTAAAGTTGTTGTGAGGATTGAAAGAGAAATTATGTAGAAGGTATTTAACCCAGTGCCTGGCACACAGCAATATCTATATGAATGCTAGCTATTGCTTTTACTCTTATTGCTATTGATATTATTAAAAAATCATTTATAGATGGCCTGTAACCTTAGCTAATCAAGTAGCACAGTTTGCATAACATTTAGACTGTTTCTTCTAAAAAGCAGAGCTTTAAAAAGAGAATGATTTGGTTTCAGTCAGAGTCAGGCTGAGAAATGCTTTTATTATAAATATCTTTTATGGAGTTTTTGTTTTTGGCTTTGTTTTTTTTGTTGTTGTTTGTTTTTGAGACAGCATCCACTATGTAGTACAGGCAGGCCTTGAACATGCTTATGCAGCCCAGGCCAGGCTCAAACTCATGGCGATACTCCTGCCTCAGCCTCTTAAGTGCCGGGATTACAGGCATGTGCCACCATGCCCAGCTGGATAAATATCTTTAAAAAGATTTTGTCTCAGTGGAGCATAAAGTTTTTGAGAACAGCATTTTACTCAGTTATTCAGAAGCACAATGGGGGATCTTATCTCCTCTGAGGACCCTTATGAGCCCAAACCCAGAAACTAGTATCACAAACATGATATCCCTAGAACACATTTCTGCCTCCTTAGAATTGGCAAAACACCAATCTTGAGCATTTAACCCCACTGGGAGGAAAACCCTTACCACCCAAGGCTCCATCTGCCCAAGCTCCTCCACTCTGCTTGGCAGTGTCAGCCTTGGAGCCTAATGTCACAGCCAAACTGTGGACCGGAGAGTTCACCCAGGCTGAAGAAGTGGACTCCCAGTAGGCTCCAGGGCAGGCCTTCCCTAGCGATATTAGAATCCCTGCTTCTGCTGGCCTGAGGTGGAAATGAACCAGAATTAGGTTTCCTTGCATTTGGATTTTAAACAGAGAATGTTACCAAGTGCTGGCCTGCAAATGAACTGGCTGTATCTGCAGGGCAATGTGAGTTTTAAGTGTGAGATAACAAAAGAAAATTTCTCTATTAAAAAAATAGGGCTCTTTGAACTAGAAGTGCTATTTGTTCTGTAAAACAAATATTCACCAAGATGAGGGCAAAGGTGGTATTCTGAAGATTGGCATCATATTTGGATGAAAAGGAACTTTGCTTCGAGGCTTAAATCCATGCTAAGGCTGACACCAAAAATAAATAAATAAAAGGAGATTTTTAGGGGAAGATAAGATCAATAATTATCAGACAGACAAGTAAAGTAAGGCAGTCATATCTCTTACTATTGCATGCCTTAATGACATAAACAGGGCATCTGGCCCAGAATTTGTCCTTTTCCCTTTCACTGACTCAGAAAATTTGCTACTTTATATTAGGGAAAAGTGTGCTTCCTCTAACTTTCATATTTTCAAATATTTGAAATTTTAGCTTGCTTATTTTTTCTTTGAGTACAAAAGAATTTTGTGATTACTAAACTGTAAGCATCACAGAAAGGACATCATAAAACACAGAAAGGGACATCTTTCACTATCCCATCTCCCTGAGAGAACCACTATCCACAACTACTAATACTGATTTTAAAGGTTACCATTTATAAAGTGGTTCCCACCAAGAAGAAATGTCAAATATTAAAAAAAAAAAAAAAGAAATGTCAAATATTAATAAGAAAACACAAAAATGAAGATTTTCAGGAAAATTAACCACTACACATAAAGAAACTGGTAGTCACCATAGATAAAGGAATTAAATGCCTTAAGGGTTTATTTTTAAGGAATTCTTTCTTAAAACCCTTATGTAAGATGACAAAAGGTATAGTATATAGGGCATTGGTGACTGACTGAAAGTGTGTGTTATCAAAGATGTCCCTCCCATTGACCACCTTGGCAACTGATCTCATGACAGAAGGGTGAACTAACCCAGAGTATAAGATTGATTTCCTGAAAACCTGTTGCCATAGTGATTGATTCACCAGCTGCCAGTCAGCTTGACTAGCACCTACATTCCTGAAGCAAAAATGAACTATTTTTAAAATTTCACACCTATTCTTGAAGAGCCAGCTGTTAAATCTGTGCTCCATCCAGCTTTAGAAATGCAAAGACTCATTCCTAGGCAGACTTATTTGCTTCAAATGTATTTCATCCCATGAACGCCAAGGTACATTTTCCTTGAAATTAAATTTGATCTGTTTCATAAAACACACTTGCTTATGCTACATGCAGAGGTGTGGCATAAGCATTGTTTGTCCACCAAGGAGTTTCCAATTGGTAGGAAGATAAGATATAAATGTGAACAACAATAGCTTAGGACTGAATATCACAAAGTGCTCCAGAGAGGACCAAGCAAATTATTCCATCTTCCCATGGTTAGCATACAGTTCCCAGATTCAGCAGGGCTTGTGGGTGGTGTTTCTTACACTGGGTCACAACCCAGAGTCACTAAAGACAGGTGCTGCCAGCACAGCCTGGAGGCTCTTCTGAGGTAGCACGAACCATGCTTAGGGCACATAGTGTGTCATTTGTCCAAGAATTGGGGTGGGGGTATAGTGAATGGCTCACAGCCAGACACATTTATTTAACTTCTAACATTTTACAAACACATAAAAGTTGTAATTCCACATTCCAGCCAAGTCATCATGTTATTCCCAAAACATCACATGCTTTCTT